TATCAAACATACATCTTTTTGTTTTCCCCTTCCCTCTCTCGCCCTCTTGTAAACCCTGACAACGGCACATTACCCGTCAGCATGCATTACACCGCACTTAGATCTACAGGGCAGCATCTTTGAAGTTAAAATGGGGGAAAATATCATAAGTATAGGCCTTGCTCCAGATAACTGTGGCTGCGCTCCCAGATGCTTCTCAAAGATTAGAATCATCAGTGAGTAGCGATCTGCTCTATCATATGGCTCTCCTACAGACTTGGCAGCAGGGTTGGAGGAGGGGTTGTACAGTACAGTACACTGGATCAGGACTGTATGGGGTAAAAGAAGAAAAAAACTCCCTGCCAGAGCCATATATCCAAAGCACCATTCAGTCACCAGAGGCCTCAGTGCCTCCTGATATCATTTTAAGCTTATGTTGCTTAGCAACAAAATATCGTTAAGCACGGTTTTGCCCAGTAACAAAATTTCACTCAGGAAATAAACAGCTGAATCATTGGTTTGAAGAAGTCAGTGGCACAACTGTTGTAACCAGAGGACTCCCTTCTGTGCCAGCCAGTTACCCACAGCATTTGGTCTGACCTTCATGTCTAACATCAGCTCTGAGCCACAAATACCAAGCAGGTGTGGTGATGTCATCACATCTCATTCAACATACCACAGAGCCACGCAAAGGGCACACGGTCTTACTCTGGAAAAAGGATTCTGTAGCTCTGAGCTCTGTGAACTTGCAAGGAGAGAGTTTCTTTTATAGAAGGCTGTTGTTTTTAGGCCTGAAAAGACTCTGGCTGTCATTTCGTGCAGTGGCGGAGAGTTAATGGGCGCTATGATGTATAAATGCCTCTGTCAACTGATTTTCTGTCAACAGGATTTTGTATCTACAGCCAAGACGTTGTTTTAACAATGAACGAAGGCATTCGTCATTCCAAAATGCCAATTAATTAAAATATAAGTTTCTGTGCTACAGGCTTGGATTTGATTGATAGTAAAATCTTTTTTTTCCATCAATCTTGATTGGAATTCAAACATCTTATTATTGCAGAGGCAAAACCCGATAATTTCTGCTGTATGTGACAGTAATTACATTTCAAAACTTAAGAAAACAACATAAAAAGACACATTTTTTAAAGTTGATCAACAAGAGCAGCAGAGGTCAGTGCAATAGTTATTCTTTTAATGATTTCCATCAAACTGATCTTGTTGCAACTCAAACGTTTAGTGTTGCCGCAACTAGCAATTAGGAAATGATTCAGCGTTTTGATTGTGGGGCATTTTGTGTCTGCCGTGTTTGCTCAGCAAGTGGAGCTGCACTAAATTAACATTAATGAATGTTATGGCCTCCCATCAGTTTGACAGGTCTATTCTTTAGATCTGTTTTAATTGTAATTAAGCCCTGATTAACGAGCTGGGGGATGTTTCATTCTCTTTTCAAGAATATAGCATAATATGTTATGAAGGCAATCAGGGGTTTGTCATTTTATCTGCTAATGAGGCTCAGCCATATGTCATAACAAACTTAACTTCTCTCTGTAGCAGCAGCGTTTGGATGCCTCAGTTAAGCTGCTCTTCTGCTCCTGCTTTGGTCTTCGGTGAAAGCAACATGCTGCCATCTTTGTAGGCAAACAACAGTTGTTTATATTGAAAAAAAAATGGGTCTGGGTCGCCTCCTGTGGCTTAGGGCTTAAGACGCTGAACATGAACAGCAACATTTCTGGTTAAGATCTGCCAAGGTACCTTTGTTGCATCTCTCTCTCTCCCTCGATTCCTGTCATCTCTCCACTACCGCTTCGTAATAAAGGCATTAAATGGTCCCCAAAAATAATTTCAAAATGAGAAAAACCAGGTGGGAGGATGATCCAACATCACATAAAAGCTAATGATCGCTATGTGGAGTCAGTTGCTATATTTTTTGAAAAGGATCCAAGAGTTGACAGACCAGACAGCAAATGAAAAGCTCTCAATTCAGGAGTCCGTGTGGTCAGACACCCGGGTCAAATCCCAAAAGGGAAATGCTAATCCTTGCTTGCCATTATTTATTATTAAAATTGACTCATTGACTGCCTTTGCTAGGACTAGGTTAACAGTTTTAAAAGGTTGAATATGACAAACTAATATGCATGAACTCTAAAAAATAACACTAAACCGAATAGAAGCAGAAGATTGAAGCCACAAGACAGGAAACAAAAATGTCCATTTGTTACAAGTGCTACAAGTTACAGCAGCTTGTCAAAATCTCAAATTTTAAGAGAATATTCAGGAAATCGACCAAAGAAAATGCAAATGAATCTGGATTTCCATCCACTCCTATTATGCGAATATTAGGAATGGGTCGCATCAAGATTAATAGTTGATGGGGTTTTTCTCCAGTCGGGTACCATTAAACCAGGCAGAGGATAACGTAATTAACAGGCAACCACCTCAAGTGAGCGAAAACCGATGTGGAAAATGTGAGGGAAAAATTTATGTTTGTTTTATGTATTCGTTTGAGGAAGGTTACAGCCTCCTCATCGGTGCCCACAGATATGATGTTTTTTTCATCTCTTCACTGGAAGCTCTCATTATATACTTATTATTATACACTTACATTATGTTATATCCCCTTTGTGAGTAAACTTAATAAGGATAACATACCCAAAAGGTCTCCTATGTGTTCCCCGTATGGTCAGCATTACTGCTTCACTTGCTGAGTTTGATCTTTTCAGTACAAGGGAGGAATACTCACATTATCTCACAATAATAGTAATCTGAATTCTTTATGGCAATGTCCTGAAACACAGTTTTATTAATGCATTAGCTTTACTAATGAATCATTGATCACAGCACTGAAAGTGTTGCTGGAATTTTCTCATTTGAGTTCTTACCTGCTTATTTGAATACACCTTTTCAGCGGTTGAGTATTACTTGAAATTTAAAAGCTTTCCGCCAGTGTCTGTTGTCTTTCTCTTCAACAGTGACTGGAGAGAGAACTGAGGCAGGACTGTTTTTTGGCACTTTCTCTTAGCGTCTGATCATAAAAACAAAAAGCAGATGAAAGTAAGAAAGACTTTTTGACCCCGTGGTCTTGATTTTATTTTATATTTCCTGTATCGACGGTATCCTGAAAGAGTCTGTTAAGCCTCTTTGTGTTGGCGTCAAGAACCCGAACTCCAGCTTGCTGTTTCTTCCTTGGCAATCAAAGGGAAAGCTAACAGGCTGTTGTTGCCTTTTAGTCTTATTGAATTCACTTGTGCTGTGCAGAGTTTCCATCTTCCTTCTGTGACCCGAGAGGCATCGGTGGTCTGTTCGCTCAAGCATACTTTTTTTTCTCTCTGATTTTTTTCTGGTTTTATCCTGACTCTGTCTTTTTTTGTCCATCTGTCTGTCCATTTGTTTTTTCAATTTCTCTACTTGACACGGAGCTGTGGATACCCACCACTAAAAGAAATTATGTTCAATGAATAGAAAAAAGAAATTAGATAGAAAATGACAACCAAAACAGATCATAACCTAAGCAAGAGCCAGGGAACTCTTACCATGCAAGACTTTTCTTCCAGAAAACACAGAAACCAAAGGACTCTCGGGCAGTGAGCTCGGGGAAAACTGTGAAGCACTTTGTCACTGCTTTGGCAACAACGAATGACTGTGTGCTCAACATGTGTGTGAGTGTTTATACATCATTTCCCCTGGAAAGTGTCATGCTCGCGGGTGGGCGGGGGTTGGTTCTGGGTGGATTGAGGTTAACCCCTCGAGGTCTCCAGGGTTACTCTGCCTCTGCTCTTTGTCAGATTCTCAGGGTTTCTCACTCTTGGCTCTCAGTGATGGCCCGACAGAGTGTTAGACTGGCAAAGTAGTGCGGGAGTGGCTATTAGCTGCTTGTCTTTCTAGTCCTCTGAGAACATGAAGGCCTCATTAGCCTGGTGAACTCAGCTGTCCTCTGGTGCTAAACCCACTGCTATAGTCCAATTGTGTGTGTATGTGTGCATACGTGCATACATAGTATGGTTTTAAGAAACTGGCTATCCTTCACATTAGTCTAGTACACTGCTCTTTTGACAGGGCACTAACAGTTCAATCTGTGCTTCTGATTATATTAATAAGGCATCATGGGGTGATGCAGAGACAGATTTTTAAATTACGCCATTTAAATTAAGTCATTTAAAAATCTGTATTTATTAGACCTAAAGCAATATTCCTGTTACATTTATATGATTTTAGGCTGAGTGCCTCTTTTTAATGTATCTACCCAGGAGGACTCCCTGGAATTCTGTTTTGAGTGAATGATTCTGAAATAAAGTGCTTCATTGGTTGACTTAGTGTGTGAACATAGGGCTGGACAATAGACCTAATTTATCAAATTACCAACTTTATGAATCTTTCGCCTGTTTAAATGCCTATAAAGTAGCACTAGCTATAACAACCAATAACATCTAACCAAAGGTTAGAACTATGAAAACTATGAAATTTCCAGAAGGTCTTCTGTACTAAATTGATAGTAACTTAATGAGATACCCATTTGATGTGATTTACTCAGACTGTTGAAGCCTGCGAACACATATTTTTGCACAGGAAAAGGACAGAAGCTGTTTCAATGTACACATATGGGCACCTGAGTATTGCTTTAAGACCAACCTGAACAATAGTGAACCTATCCTTAAACTGGTCGTACTGTAATCAAACAGGACAAACATGTCAGAAGTGAGTAAACATGAACAAATAAATATATACACTAATTCACACATTATATCACACGTTCTTAGTCGTCATGGAAGTGTAAAATATTTATATTTATAAATTATTTATATCTTTTATGACACTATTCTTTTAAGCCAACATTGGTGAGAAGTCCTACACATGCTTAGAATAATGCAAAATGTGAACATATACAGACCATGTGAGCTCTGGAAAAAAATCACTGTAAGATATATTGTCATTGAGGTAAATCTCATAATTTCATCATTATATGAAGTGTGTGTGTGTGTTCTGCATTTATGTTAATAGTGTGCATTTTTGTGTTTGCGTTACAGGTGAACGAGGAGACGGTGGAGCGACTGGTCGTCCAGTACCCTCACATTGTTTTCAGCACGGTGATGCAGGACTGCAAGAGAACCCTGGAGAGAGCTTATCAAATGGGCTGGAGCCCCAACACATCAAACACTTCGTAGCTACTGCTGGATCACACACACACGCACACACAGACACACACATACACACACGTACATAAACACATAACTACACAGAGGCCCCTTTTGTGTACAGACACAAATACACATTATTTGCAGCTCAGTCATGTTTGCTTCTCATCCACTGTTCAAACATGCATGTGGACATGTAGCTACACACTCACAGACAAAGGTCCAGTCCATCAACTGTTTCATTTGAACTAAATCTCCCATTTAATAATTTAAGTAATATGGGCCTCCTTGTATTTTATAATTAAGTGAGACTGCACCCACAGAACTTTACCACTCACAGGTTGTAGTCAACAACATGACTGAATTGTCATCATCATCGGCTGTAAGTGAGATTAGATGCAAAAATGTAGGGTACTTTCTTTGACCAGAACCTTGAGTGACTAGTTTGTTTTGGTGCAAAGCAGTGCGCTTTGTGTTATTTGATATCTACTTAAAGTGAGTGTTACTCAATTGATAGGGTATTAAGCGTCATACATTTTAAGTCCTGCACCTCACCTTGGATGGAGTGAAGGTAAAGATTCATGAGAAAGGGTGCGGGCTGGTTCGAACTATCCCATAACCAAATCAAGGTCATTGAGCAACGGTCGGACCAGAAGAATTATTAATGAGATTTGATTCGAAAGGGTTTGTTGCCCCAACTGGAACCGATGTTCTTGAGCACTGTGCCCCATGTCAGGCCTCTGCAGTGTTTACTTTCTTCAAACTGAACTCTGTTGCTGCAGCGAGATCGCACAAGACAGAGCAGAGGTTTGGAGATCAGGAGATGACATCCCACTTCAGTCCGGAAGACAACTGAACTGCCAGGGCTTCAGAGCTCTCTTGAGACATTTTGAGAATTCTGTGATGTTTATTTTGTCCAATTAGAAGATTCTTCCTTTCTTGGATGTTTAGTACAGTGTTAAAGGCGTTTGTGGACTCATACGTATTGAGATTGTTGACAAGGCTCCATTTGAAGGACAGAGCTCTTTACTGTGACTTATTATGCACATCATCATGGTACAGATTTAGGCCATAATCAGTCAAACCCATGACAAATGCATCGCAGGAAAAACAGCATTGATCACTTCTCAAAAACTGCATGTTTACATTGAGATGCTCACCTTATTTTTTCAGCTAAAGAGATATAGTCTACAGATGATCTGACGTTGATATTAGCCTCTGTATGACTTGGGAACAATGCTGCTTTTGATGTCATGTATAGATTCAGGGTTGACTGAGCATCACCTTGATTCAGTAAAGAATGAAATCAAACAGTGCTTGAAATAGAAGTTGCCTTTACATAAAAACCCTGGGTCATGTTATCAGAATATATTAACCACAACCACCGTGATGACAGGTAAGGGGAAACGTTGCCTTAAGTGGTTAGTAGGTAATTGCCATCCAATTAGCAACCTGAAAACGACCCAGAATTTATTAAATAAATGTTTATCTGCTCTGAGTTTATCTGATACTATATTCCCATTATTTGAACTGATATATATATATACATATAAATAAATACTGTGTGGGATTTACTTAGCCTAATATTGGTTTTGAGCATATACTTGTAACATTATCTATGTAGCAATGCAATGAGGGATTTATCTTTCTTAGTGGTTTAGGATGTAATGAAAAAACTTGGGCCTGGGCCTATAACCAAGGCCAGTAGAAGTTGGTAGGTAAGAGTTTATCATTTTCATTTATTCTATAGAAACTCAGTAGTTTACAGTTAAAAATGCAAATAACCAGGGTATTTTTCTATGGTGTGAACCAGCTCTGGGGTCAGCCTCCACACACTGTCACTCAGAAATGAACAATAGCTCACTGAGCTTAGGGTTTGAGTAGAACTGTAAACTTTCTACAGCATACAGAGATTTCAGACAATTAAAAACATTCTACCCTAGTCAGGATTTGTAGACTTTAATCGATGGAGAGTTTCTCCCTCCACCTGTTTTTGTTCTGTTTCTGTTCTTTTGTAATCCCCATACGCACTTTCTTCTCTGCTAGATGTTGACACACTTGATTCCTGATTTGTTAAGGCAACCGTAAATGACTGGATTTACATAAAGATGAATAAAACACTACTCCTTCAAGCTTTTTTCTCTTTTCCTTTTGTATGGGTGGAATTGAGGCAGGAGAAGAATATTCAGAATGACAGTGGAATACTTTTCCGCTCATTTTACATCATCTGTGGACTGCTTAAAACTGTTTTTCCTGCAGGGTTTTCCAGACTTTTTATTACATCAAGTATATTTCAACACAAAGACCACAATGACTTTAATGCTAGATATGGTGGAATTTCAATTTAACACTGATTGCATCTGTATTCTCAGGTAAAATGCAAATAAGGACACCAGCATGTTTCCATCACAACCAAAGGCCATGGAATGCACAAGTATGGCATACCAAAGCCTCTGTATTGTTAGAAATAAAGATCTTTTCCACAGATGTCCATGCATTGATAATGTCTTTTATATTTAACACCATGACACAACAGTCTACTTGCATATTGTCCCAATCACAGGAGCTTCACATCTGAGAAGTGAGAAGACATCAGCTTGCTGCCCAGCAAGAGAGCAAAGCCTCAAAGACCTAAAATCTGTCACTCAATATGTCCCCAAGTCTTTGACAATATTGTCCCTTTCAAGAGCCTATTTTACTGTTCAATGTGGTTGTGTTGTTTCATGTCTGCCGATCAAACGCTAGAGATAGCATCAAACAGGATGCGAAGGTTGGTTCGTCCCAGATAGATTCTTTGTGTTGTCAACACAATTTTTGTCAACTCGAGGTGCAATTCACTTGAGTCACACCTAAAGTGAGGGTTTTCTAACCGTACTCGGACTGTTTCAGAAATGTGTTGTTTCAATATTGTGGTGTGTTCTAGGGCGGTAATTTGTGATTTTGTTCCATATTGTATTATATTAAAAAAGTTTCTGCTGAATTTTTCCCAGTACCTCTTTAAACAGTCTTATATTAGAAGCTTCACAAGTTAGTATTTGTTGCAGGAACGTGCTGTTCTGTTCAATTTCAATAGATTTCACAGGTGTTTGTTATATTGTGTCTAACCCCTGTAACTGAACAACACTTGCACACAACAGAGGGATAAAAATATTACAGCTGGTGGAAAGCAAGCAGATTGTAAATACAAAACAACATTTGAAATGCTGTATATTACTTAGAAAGAGCCGTTGTCATGAAAAAAGTCTTGTTTACACAGAAGAATGGAAATTGGAACTTTTAACTTATTGTATTTTTGTAATTATTTTTAGTATTTGCCTTTATTTAGTAACATTTTACAGGCTGGAAACATGGGGAGAAAGAAAGGAGGTTGTATGAGATAAAACAAAAGGAATTAAAACTAAACTACAGATGTTGGAATTTTGTTCCATGTGTCTTTATCACTAGACCATCATGCAATGGAGCATTTCTTGCTGTAACTATTAATTTGTCAACATTTAATTAAGGGTTTCATCTATAGCTGTGTGCACCAAAGTCCTGCTGCTGTTGAAGACTGTTTAAGTTTTCCGTTTCTTCCTATACAAAGTAAATATGACCTGAGATCTGTGATGGACTCAGAGGGTAATTTCCTTAGAGACCTGCATGGTTGCCTGTGGTAACAACCACACTGTCTAACTCACTCTTATTCTCCCCTGTGCTCCCTTCTGATCTCACTTCCTCTGCAGCCTCTTATCAGATAAACGGGGTGAGAAATGTGCAGTTATTGTTGGGAGGGGAGTTGAGGTTTTGCTCTCTATGCCCTTTCATCATCTGTCTAAGACAGTTAGGAGACAAATAGTCTAGATTTTATTTTCTCATGTACCAGGCTATTTAGCTAGTATTGAATTGAATTGAAATTGAATTGAATTGAAAGCCTTTATTGTCATTGTACACAGTACAATGAGATTTAGAGAGCAGCTCCGTAAAAGTGCACACATAATTATCACGATATACATACATAAATACAATACAATACAATAAATACATTTAGTGCAAATTTGAATTGAGTATGGTGACAGCTTTGGGGAACGGAAGCATCCTGAAGTGGTTCGTTCTGGCCTGTATTAGACCCTGAAGCGCCTCTGCCTGAGGGGCAACAGGCTAAAGAGATGGACAGCCAGGGGTGCGGTGGTGTGCTATAGACCTGGCACGTCAAGGACGGCCAGAGGGCAGCCCGATGAAATTGTTTGCTGCGGTGTTTTTCACCCTCTGCAGTCGGCTTCCCTGTCGCGCTCCGTGGCAGCTGGAGGCCACACCTGTCACAGCGTAGGCTCAACAGGCCTCTCCGAGGTGGAACGGTAAAGGCTCACAGCAGCTTGAGTGTTTAGTTGCCTGCCTTCCCTGAGCACCTCCAGGAAGTCGAGCCCGCTGGCTCGGGCTTCCTTGACCAGCTGTGGTGTTGACCGACCAGGAGAAGGTCTGCAGAGATCGTGAATGCCGAGGAATTGAAGGACCCACTCGGCTCTACCACAGTCCACCGTTGATACAGGGAGGGGGCAGGGCGGCTCTGTTCGCCTGAAGTCCAGGACTGAGCTTCCTTGGACTCTGTTGAGTTGTGTTAGTGCGCAGGTCGTTGATGCACACCACTCGCCAAAGTTCGAGGACCGTCATCTCTGTAGGCCGCTCGTTATCCCCTGCAATCAGCCCCACCACCGTCTTGTCATCAGCAAAGTTGACGAATGATGTTCTCTGGGGGGCGGGCACTGCAGTCCGTATGGTGTAAGGGGTAGAGTAGTGGGCTCAGGCACGGCAGCCCTGTGGAGAGCCAGTGCGGAGAGTGGGGTAGGAGGAAGAGGGAGGCACCCTAGTTCAACCCGCTGGGGTCGGTTGCCAAAAAGTATTTTATCCCGGAGGAGCAGTTGGGTGGTGGAGGCCCAGGTATGGTTAGCTTGGATCAGAAGCTCCGTCTCCTCATATGGTAATTAAAAGCCTGAGCCTGAAAGCAATGAAAGCATCCCTGCAGTCTCGTCGCAGGCCCTCGGGAGGTGGTCGAGCGGGCTAGTGGCGTCTTCGGTGGATCTGTTAGTCCGGTATGCAAACTGGTGCGGGTCCAGGGAGACAGGCTTTGATGTGTCTCAAAACCAGTTTCTCAAGGCATTTGGTGATGACTGGGGTGAGTGCTATGGGGCGGAAGTCATTGAGGCGGCGTTGGTGACTTTTTAGGGATCGGGATGATTATGGCATAAGAGAGCCCCCCAAAATTTCACAAATCATGTTTTCATGGGGGCTCATGTCTTATTCTGCCGCGCTCCCTCTGGCTCCCCTATAGTTCGCACCACACAGGACCCTGGAAGTCAGTGACAGCTGGAAGCGCAGGGAGGCTTCCATGTAGGCTGAGACCATACGGCAGGGAAACGGGTTCCACTTATCTTCAACTGCCCTATCGAATAAAAGCATAGTAAGTAAAGTCCTTTTAAATAAAATACTTTTATGACGCATTTCTCCCCAAGGATTAACTAAAGTTAGGCAACATGGCAGCCATTCTTGCCCGTTTCACAACATTTCCTCATCAAACTCTGTGAATTAAGGATTTACTGTGACCAACCATTTGATGGTTGTGATTGTTGGAAAGACTGACAAAGACATTTTTTAGTTTCTGTCTAGTTTGAAATTTGCTTTTACAATTATCTCCTCGGTAGAATCACTGGTTTTGTGAATGGAGTCTGGTTGGCCGTAGCGCCCACTGTTTTGGTCTGAGATGCTACTGCTTTAGTGGCAGGAGAAATTCATATATACCTTTTAAAGAACTGTGACCAAGATATTGAGTGCAGACATTTTACAGTGGACAAATACATTTGTGAGTGCTTTCTTGTGGACAGATTTGTACATGTACATGCCAATGCTGAGATATTGCAATGAACTAATGTGCTGATATCAATTTACACAACTGTCACAGGGACACAGGCAGCAGGTGAGAAAGCAGCTTTATTCATTAAGACTTTGGTGTAATTCAAACCTCTGAATAATTCAGACAGTGAAGCATGGAAGCCTCTTGCTGATTCCACCGTTTTCATTTTATAATACCAGATGCTCAGATCTGGAGAGGCTGGTTAAATCTTTGTGTATCTTTATTCCTCATCACCTCCAACATGCCAGTACAGAACAACACAACACTGTTGCATCAGCATTAGACTCGTTCTGGACTGACTTGGCTTTCACTTTTACTGGAGAAGCACTGCTACATGGATAAAAGTAAAAGACCAGCATTTTGGGTTCATTATGTTACCGACAGTCAATTTAAGACAACAATAGCTGTTTTTGTGTAGGTCAGATGTTTTTAAATATTGACAGACAGATGATGGTGTTATTCCACAGATCCGTCATAGAATCAGTCCTGACTGATGTGCATGGATTTCTAAATGTAACTGGGAAACATTGTCATGGCAGCAAGTAAAATCACTGGGGAGCAGTAGCTCTCTGTCATTTATAGCAGACAAATCACACAGAGCCAAACTCACCATATCAAAAATTAGGCGCAACAGGTTAAAATGTCCATTGATTGCATGTGCAGTAAATGCTCTTAAAGGCATACAGATTTGGATATTTCCTTTGCTGATTGTAAACACACAATTCAAAGTTGGCCTCTCCTCCCGAGCTCAAGAAAAAGCGGCGATGGTAGAACAAGGTAAAGAGTAAATGTAGTGAGGGAGCGCTTTACTGAGATAAACGTAGCTGCACTGTCTGCTGCGTGTAGCTCAGACCGAACACACAGACATACAGTGCAAAGACAGAGCTCTCTCCACATTGTGATGCCCAGAAACGTCCTGCAAAAAGTGAAATAATAAAATACAGTCAGAGTCATGGTTGATGATTGAAAGGGAATATGTTTGTATGAGTCTATGCATTTTAATCATAAACTGCTCTTGGTTGCCTGCACAGTTCTTGAAGGAGGTTTACTGAGAACCGGATCACTCTGCGGCCATGGCCCTCCTCTGACAGGGGTGTCTGTAGAAGCAGGCGAGCTGGCTGAAGCGTCGGTCGCAGACGGAGCACCAGTACGGCCGCTCGCCGGTGTGCGTGCGCAGGTGCACGGTCAGGTTGCCCTTCTCCACGAAGCCGCGGCCGCAGTACGTGCAGGTGAACGGCTTCTCGCCCGTGTGGCTGCGTACGTGCCGCACCAGCGTCGCCCTCCTGCCGAAGCTCTTGCCGCAGACGGTGCAGGCGTACGGCCGCTCGCCCGAGTGGATCCTCATGTGCGTCCGCAGGTTCCCGCGCAGCGTGAAGCTCTGGCCGCACACGCCGCAGCGGAACGTGGAGTGTCTGTGAACCCGGAGGTGAACCTTCAGGCTCTCGCTGAGCTCCAGGTGTTTCCCGCACAGGCCGCAGTCCTTCGGGTGTGCCGTACAGTGGGTGATCAGATAGCCGACCTTGTGGAAGGACTCCCCGCACACTTTGCAACTGAACGCCGGCGGCTGATCCGCGGAGGTCCTCGCCTTCCCGCTCGGAGGTGAACTTTGTCCTTCCGCCGCTCCCGTCTCCTCCGGTCTCCAAACCCCGGCGGGCTCCCTCCAGTAGTCCCCGCTGTCGTCGGTGTCGTCGGAGCAGTCGGCGAGGAGTCGCCCGTCGCTCGGATCAAAGTCCCCGTTCGGTTCCGACGCTCCGCCGTCCCCAACGCCAACCTCGGTTTTAATCTGAGCCGCAGAGGAACCGGCGTCCGTACAGTCAGTGTGCTCCAACTGGACACTGAGGATCTGATCATCAGGACCTTTGATCCAGGAGGAGGTCTGCAGAGAGTCTGGAGGGACGATATTGTTAGGGTTAGGGTTAGGGTTATTGA